CGCTAATTAGTTGCTGATTACTTTTGAAGGAAAAAATTTGCCATTTCCTATTTTTTAAAAATATTGCATGTTTTGCTAATATGATATAAAGTTAACGGGATTGTTATTAAAAACTGGATTTTTGACAATAATTAACTTGATGTGGCAAAATGGCATTGAGCAAAATTGTGATAAATGAAGTATTGTCCCCCCCCCCCTCTGAAGGGTGTTTTGCTGAGAATCCTCAAAGGTCACTTCTTTTACGAATAGGTTGGTTGGTTCCAGGGGATTTTTGTTCCGAATTCCAAAATATCTAATTTTTTGCGAATAAGTCGGAAAATTCCTTATTCGCCCAAAGTAAACCGCAAATTCCCATGCAAAACTCCCGCGCGATAAATAAAGTCTTACCTCCTTCTAGGGGTGTTTTGATGCAAAAAATCATTTATTATAAGAATAGGTCGGAAAATTTCTTCGCGGAAAAGTCGTCAAGTCCATGGCTTATTCGCCTAAGATGAACGGAAAATTTTCACAAGTAATTGATTGTCACGCGATAAATATAGTCTTACATCCCTCCGGGAGTATTTTGCTGCGAATTGAATAATAATCCAATAAGAATTCGTTGCTTGATTTAGAAAAATTATTTGATTATTTATCGTAATTAAATTCGCGAAAACGAAATATTTTCAAAATTTCCAACTAATTATCCGTTCTACGGGGGTTACATTAGAATGTCTTTACGCAATGTTTAAATGTGAATTTACCGTTTTTGCTGGGCGACTACTTAGTTGTCCACTTAAAGATGGAATTTCCCAACATATTCGCAAAAGAAGTGAGTGTTTGCAGTAAGACACCCCTAGAAGGAGATAACACTTCCTTTATCACGCGAGAATTACTTATGAGTATTTGCCGTTCATCCTGGACGAATAAGTTTTAGACTTTAGGAATTTTCCGCGGTGAAATTTCCCAAATTATTGGTATAATAAGGAATTTTTTGCACCAGAAAACTCCTAGAAGGAGGTAAGACTTTGTTTATCGTGTGGAAGTGTTTCATGGTAATTTTACGTTTCCCTCGAGTGAATTAGTTGTTGACATAGGGATTTTCGGTAATAAAATTTTCCGACCTATTCGCAAAAGAAGTAACTTTTTCGGGATTCGCAGATTTTTACCGTAAAATCTTATTTTTGTTTAGAATGGCGTAACCTTATGATCGATAATTCTTTTTAATAACAATGTAATAATTTTAATTACCGATTAGGGATTAACTTAATAAATCATAATATGATAATATGCGTATGTCCATCTGTAACCATAATGCTTACTCAATTGTGGAAACAAAGTTACTCGATTTATAAATAAAAAAAAAATTAACACGTGGGCATCATGTTGCTTCAAAAGTTTTGGCATTCTTACAAACGAGCAAATTGGAATTTTTTAAGAATAGAACAAAGGGTTATATTTGTTTGTCGGGTGTATCGTCAACTGCACTTGCGTTCAAAAAAACGTTAATTAATCATATATAGTTCCAAACTTTAATCAAATGTTTTGATAATCATATTGTGGTACCTTTACAGGAGTTACCTCACCTTCATAAAACTTCGCTACAAACCTAGCTACTCAGTCATATTATTTAGATAAACCGGAGTGCAGTTGGCAATCGCCTCTAAGAGGTACAATAATATATTTTTAACAGTCTCCCAAAACATTTCACACATTTAAATTTTGCAATCGAGGAATTTAAAGTGATCTCATACACCGAAGAAAATGCCACTAAAACATTACTCAACACCTTATCACTATACGTAAAAATGTCATGCAGGTTAAAAATAGTAATTGGGTATCTACAGGTGGTTGCTGTTGTTTTAAAGCTTATTTTAACTCTTTAAAATAGAACTTGTTGTTATCGGAAATTTATGAGTCACGTTCATTGCCACTAATTAAAAACAATATTAGTTCTCATTAAACTGCCTTTTAAAAGATTGCACGCATGTTTGTGTTCGTTTGTTGTCTGTACTATACCTGTCTGTCTACTACAAATTCTGCAGATGTGCGTTACACCTACAAATAGCTATTTACAATTTTTTGTAACACTTTTCATACTGTAACACTAAAAACTTAAAATACAATTAAAACAGGAAAGCACAGGGGTGAATTCAGGAATACGTTTTCGTAACGACAATACTGCTAAAACAAAAATACTGGTAGGTATGCAAGGGAAAAAAAAGTAGGGAAAGAATGAATATAAAGATAGGAGACGAAAAATTAGAAGTCGATGATTTTAGGTATCTAGGAAGTCAGATAAGTCAGGACGAAAGTAGGAGTAGGGATATAAAGCAGACGATAGCGCAGGATCGAGTTGCCTTCAATAAAAAGAAGTCACTTCTATATAACGGTCATCGACACGGGGTATAAAATATATACCGATACAAACAGAATAGACTAGGGGAGATGATTGAAGAAAATGATATTTTATGCGAAACACAATTTGCGTTTAGAAGGGGAAGGAGTACTATAGATGCTATCTTTTTGTTAAAGAATATTATCGAATCATATTTAAATATTAAAAAAAAAAAGTGTTTGTAGTATTTGTGGACTTAAAAAGGGCATTTGATACTATAAACACAGAGGAATTGATAAACATGTTACGAATGGGTGAAACTATAGAAGGGTTAATTGGGAGAATAATGGAAATATATAGGGAAACTGCAGGGGTTGAAAGATTAAGTGGTAAGGAGATAGGGAAATTTTGGATGGAAAAAGGTGTAAGACAAGGTTGGAAACTGAGTACACAACTGTTTAATATATACCAAAGTGATTTAGAGAAAGAGATCAGTAAAATAAGGGAGGATGGGGTAATGGTAGGTAGAAAGAAAATATAGACCTTGTTGTATGCTGACGATATTGCCTTATTAGTCACGAAACATTAAAAGATATGATGGGAACGTTGGAAAGTTATTTAAGAAAGAAGTTTTTGGAGTTAAATGTTAGTAATACTAAGTATATGGAATTTGGGGAAGTAAGGGGTAGAAAAGGTGATTAGATGGAAAGGGGAAGAGATAGAAACGGTTAAAAAATATATATACCTACGATATGTTATGAGAGACAACAACAATGATAAAATACATATAGATACGCAACTGGCGAAAGCAAACGCCTTGTTAGGAAGTATATGGGGAATAGGGCATAGATCATGCAGGAACGATTGGATTAGAAGAAAAAGGTTGTTTGATTCGACGGTTAGAAGTAGAGCTCTTTATGGGGTAGAAGTACGGGGGGTGGAAGGAACAAAAACAGGCGGAAAACGTTTACAAGAAATATATAAAGTGGGTGTTGCGTTTGGACTGCTATACAGCAGATTATATTGTACGGAGGGAATTAAAAATGTGGAAAGATGGTAGAGGAAACCAGAAAAAGGGTCGTACAATACGAGATAAAACTTGAAAAGCTTATGGATGGAGATATAAGAAAGGAATAATGGGAGAAAAAGGATTTTAAATATTGGAATAAAAACCAGGTATGATAAAGAAAGGGATGGTGCATTAGACGATTTAAATTTGAGTTTGAAACAACTGAACGAATGGGGGTGAGTGTTGAGGAAATGGTGAGAATAAGATGTAAAAAGATGATAAGGGCAGAAGACCTAAGAAGTACTGATAGACTATCTGAATAGAATAAAGGAGTTGGAAGTATTTGCAAGGTTTAGAGTAGGAAATGAATGTAGAAAATGTAAATATTGGATGAAAGAAGAAGAAATGATATGTGAAAGGGGAGATGAAACAATTATGCATGTGCGTGGAGGATGTGAGGAAAGTAATGATTTGGATGATTGTAAGGAGATATTAAGTTCGATCAGTTTCGTAGTACAGTCTATTTCAATTTGTTAGAATTGTGACCTTGAAGAAATCTGCGCGAAGATAGAAAGAATACACACTAGGCGTGAGCAAGACAGAAATAGTTGGAACAAACTTGAACGAGCAGACCTATCGATGGGCGGTCTTAGGAGATCGGATAGAACTGTACAGTACTAGACGAAAATGTTTAGCAATTTCTTAAAACAAAAAAGTATATAAATAATTAACAATAGAAAACAAAGCAAGCGTTTTTAACGAGGCAGTTTAAATAATTTTGCAAATGGTACTGTACACTTTTGTCTAGTTCTCGCTCGATGATGGGTGAAGAAATGAGCTCCGTAAACAAATATGATTGAATTTGAAATTATGCTACGGCGCATCCTAATAAAGGGAAGGGGCATATCTCTAACTTCTTGAAACGAACACTATATAAGTTAAGTTAACTTTCATATTGTAATTGTTCTGTATGAATGAAGGCTCAATTTGATAACTATGGTGTAAACCTGTGTATATAACTTTATGTTGAAATATATACTACTACTACTACTAGTACTGAAATGTGATCCTTGATGTTTTTTTCATCACTAGCTGCATAGTCTCACCCGAGATCGTCTAGCTAGAAAAGGGAAGGGGCATATCTCTAACTTCTTGAAACGAACACTATATAAGTTAAGTTAACTTTCATATTGTAATTGTTCTGTATGAATGAAGGCTCAATTTGATAACTATGGTGTAAACCTGTGTATATAACTTTATGTTGAAATATACGTATACTACTACTACTAGTACTGAAATGTGATCCTTGATGTTTTTTACTTCAAACATGAAAAAATCATGCGCTCCTGTTTTATCATATTCGTCATCTATTTTTTTCACATTATTTTCATCGATAAGCATCTAAACATTCACGAATTCACGTCTATTTATAGGCAAAGTTAAACGATCGCAAGCAGTTGGGCACGTCGCTTAATTTCTGCCCTATATCGCTTATTTATATCCCGCTTGTAACGAACACATTCGCGGGCCGAGAGAGAGCATCGTATCAAACGGGAGATCGCGAGTTAAGATTCGATCTGATCCGATTGTAATAGAAATAGAACAAACTGCGGCACCTCAACTATGTTTTGTTGATGTTTTTTTTATAAGTTGTTATTATAAGCGGGAGAATTTTAAGCGTCGCCGAAAATACAATCGCCTAGACGACAGTTTCGCGACGGACTCCGTCTCGAACGTTTTTAGTAGTGTCGCGTCGCGTCGCGTCGCGTCGACGTCCTTTCGTCAGCTGTTAATATTGTGGACGTTTGTAAACACGTGCGAACTGCTGTTTCCTGAATGTAAGACAGCGGAAAAGCAGAGTTAGTTTTCGACTCGATTATATGCAAAATCTTAACTGGTTGTGAAAAATTTTCTACTATTTGCTGCACTGCAAGTGAGTTTCAATCAAGTTATTGAAATACTAGTAAATACATATATGTGTTTATTTATTAGACAATTATTCTATATCGTTCCATTAATCTGTTGTAACGTCTTCGGACACCCTAACAAACCATGATTTTGTCATACTGTCAGAGAAAGCTCAGTTAGAAGAAATGGTTTTATTTTAAATTTTTATAATTCCACACCTCAAAAGGAAAAAACGTAACTCTTGTAAGATGACCACGTGTCAGCCTCTGTCACAGCTGTTTTTCTCGGAAACAGTTTGACGTAGACACTTAAAATTTGGCATTGTAATAATGTAAGGCACAATAGCACGCACACATCTGAAACGATGAGGATAATTTATATGGTAAAAGGACAAGAAAAAAATAAAATGTAGTGATATGGAAGAGAGTACACATAGAAAAAGCGAGTAATTATTCATACCTAGGATATATGTTGAATGATAATAATAGGAATGAAATGTATATTACAAATCAAATGACCAAGGGGAGAGCAATTATAGAAGAGTGCAGGGGTTAGGTCAGAAACAGTGTAAGAATCATTGAGGAAGGAGATTGATATTATTTAATTGTGCGAAAATATGGGGAATGGAAGAAAAAAGCAGGGGTTGATGAAAGGTGTAACAAGTGAGTATTTCAATTAGAGAGAAGTACGATTATTATGTAAGAAAAACGGAGACTAAATCTGGGAAGATGTGTGAAGAAAGCATAACAAGGATAGTAAAATATGATGGAAGGTTGAGGAAGCTGCAAGAAGGTAATATCAGGAAAGACATGTAAACGATGAAAATATTGAAAATGACGACGAAAAGTAGATATGATTAGTGATGAACAAAATTACTTTTCGCCTTTCAATCTTGGTTTTGGTCCTGCATTTTCGCAAGACTAGTAAGACGACCAAGACCAAGATCGAATGAACAAGACCAAGATTAAAGCCAAGACTGAATATGCATGACTAAGACCAAATACGCAACAGTAAACGAAGAGTTATTACTTGGTGGATTTAAAAGTTAAGTTAATAACACATGGTTGTAATATAGAGACAAAAGTCATCACAAGCAGGCATGTTTGACAAGAAAAATTCAGAATTTAAGGCAATCATTGTAACGGTAAATAGAAAATTGATGAATTATTAATGAAACGTAAATCTCCGATTAAATAAGCAAGACTTAACACACAAGATCAAAACCGAGACTATATCAACAAGATCAAGACTAACATCAAATAAATCGGACCAAGACCAATACCGAGACTTGGGCAGATATGGTCTTTATCTTGCTTTGCTAATCACTAGACATAATAGAGAAAGAGAAAGAGTTTTGAAGAGATTCAAAATCAATCAGGAGGAGGTGAGGGAGTGATTTAGGAAAGATATCAATATAGAGAAATTGATGAAGAACAGATGTAAGGAAATAAAAAGAGCAAAGAATCCAAGAAAAATTGAGGAATCAAGATATGTTGTGAAGGGACTGACACGGGGATTACGGAATGCCATTATATGAGATGTGAGATTAGTAGAAGTTTAGAAGAATGCTGTAAATTGAGGAATGAGAATAGGGGTGAACTGAGGCGATTGAAGGAAATTTTAAAGAATAGGGTTACTTTCTTAGGACAGTGAAAGAAATCTGACAACGGAAGGCAGTGGGATAGGGGACGAAAAAACGGGTTAATGTAGATGAGATAAAAGTAAATGTTGGAAATGCAGAGAATAACTGTACATTTTGATAATAGTATCGAATTTCTAAAGCAGGAAAATTACTTAAGCACTTAAATCACTTTTCAACCTACAAAAACCGTCGCAACGAAAAAGTGGTTGTCAATTCAAGGGCATTTTTCTATATGTATATTACACGATTTCTTGACCAACATTGAAGCGATTTCAATGATCCCCATGATCCCTTATTTATTAAATAGGCTACATTTCAAGGGTGCTCCTATTTAACCTTGTTAAAAATAATTCACCGCTAAAGGTGGAAAATTGAGGTTGATATTTGTGTTTAGTATTTAACTTTTGCACAAATAGAGGAAGTTTTGAAGTAACTTTTTCGTGATTTAAAGTTGCATATCACTAGTGATGTGATGAAAACAATCTTTCGAAAGCAGTGAAAAAAATAGCAACAAATAGTAGAAGATATACAGTAACTGAACATTAAATTAAAAAAAAAGTAAATAAACTAAAGGAATTATATTTTTAATCTATTATGTCTTCTAATTATGAAAAATGCAATTAAAATTGAAATTAAATTTTCATGGTAAAAGTTATTTCGAGCCGTATAAATATTACAGTCTTATGCCAGTGCAAATTTTACACCAAAACAATCGACTTTACTCCTCATTCGTTTATTCGTACATATTAAATTGTTTAGAGCCAGTAATTAAAACTAAAATGAACGAATTATTCAAATTGAACAAGCCTGTATATTTTTAGATGCAATTGTAAACTAATTTAAATCTAATTTTGATACCAAATTACAAATTCCATTGGATTTATTGTTATTATTCATACATACATACTTATTAATCACATTATTTGTTATTTTAGATATCAGTAGTATAATTATTTGCAAGTTTGTTTCAATGTAGGGGTCTAAAAAGAGAACGAAATAGATAGATAGATTGTAAAATGGTTTAAGAAAACTAACATTTTAAAGCTTGATTCTCACTACCTCCTAGATCAGGGATGGCGAACCTTTATGTACCGTCGTGCCATTTTTATAAAGAAAAGTTTAATCAGGTCATAGATGTGCCATCAAATAATTTTGTCTCTGTAATTATCGGGAAAATAATGATAATAAATAATATCAACTCAAAATTCTACAAGAAAATTTTGCAATGTTTAAATTATACGTGTAACTTAAATTAAAGTAAAATTAGTGTGACTTCTGTTTTTGCAGATTAGATGACAAATAACTTATGTTAGGGTTGTAAGATGTTAACTTTAGCAGAATGCATGCTGAACTGGAGTCATCTACCAAACGGTTTGTAACTGCGAGTTTTTGATGTTATTAATCTCTGAAAATATGACTCGCAGGCATAGGTTGATGAAAACATTATTAACATATCATATGCCAGCTTCCTCAAAAAATTAAATATGTTTGTTATCGCATTCCATGTTTCCAAAATTTTGTTATTAGCATTTTCACTCGTATTATGCGTCGATCTTTCTGTTTCAATTATTTGTAACACTTTCCTTGTTCCAACAACTTTTTGAAGCATATTGAACTAGACTAGAAATCAATCAGCTGAATTTCAGATTCTTCAATTTATTTTATCAAATGTCACATCAGGGTACATAATAAACTTTCGTATTAGTATTTCCGATAATTCTCTGAAGTGAGAAAATCTTGCTGAAAATTCGTTGATTAAAGAATCAATGACAGAAACATTAGTGACGTGCCCAAAATATTGTGTCGCGTGCCACTAATGGCACGCGTGCCATTGGTTCGCCATCCCTGTCCTAGATGATTGCAGGCAGCCGTCCGTCAAGAAATTATCCAGTTTAATAAGCATTGTGTATTTATTGTCTGTTGATGAGGTTGTTAATACTAAAGCAATATTTAAATATACTGAAATACCAATGAAATTGTACTTCATCATCTGACAATTCCTTACACAACGTGAAAAATTGATGGTCAACCATTGTATAATGTAAATATTGACAGACGTCTAACTGTCGCCGTCTAAATGGATGGTGAGGATCGGCCCTTAGAGTTAGCAACATGCAGATTTATTTAGAAGGACTATTTAGAATAAGATTCTACAAAAAAATCGACTAAAATGTTTTTCCCAACGGATACGAAAAAACTGCCTGGACTACAAGCCAATGTGTTATCAGTGGAACATGGAATTTTCCTCAGAAATTCCGTTCCCGTCCGCGAGATGTTTCATTGACATTCATGTCGCAGATGTTACATCTTCGTACGCCGCGTCGGCGTTTGAAACAGAAGGAACTGATTCAAGGATCGAAAGAGCGATGCGAGAACTGGCGGTAAATTTAATATCGAATTAGTGTCAAAAGAGAATTCCTATTATGTACGAAAACCACGTGCATGAAATAATGAAGAGGGCGCAATTGTAGGGGAGTAAGCAAGAAAATTATTGGGTTAGATAGCAGAGAAAAACTTAATAAGTTTAAATATAAACTTAATAAAAATTAATAAGAAACTAGCAAAGATAATTAATAGTTTATTTTAGTTTTTTAAATTATCCTGCTTATAAACGACCTACATAAGTAAAGATTTATCTAATCCTGCTAAAACATTCAATTAATAAATAATTAATTGCTTTCATGACCGGGGTCAGTTTAGACATTCGAGGTTTCTCCGTTTGCTAACCATGGTCTAGATTGGTTGATAATTCTACGAATCGTTTCGTTAATAGGTGTGGATGATCATGATCCCAGCCGCTGAAGATGTCATCCACACCTGATGACAAAACGTCTGGTAGAATCATCAACCAATCTAGACCATGACTAGCAAACGCGAAAACCTACAATGTCCAAATTGAATTAAAATATATTCGAAATTTTAATCAAGATCATATAGGCAATTTTAAAACAACTGAAGAGATTGGCTTTTAAAATAAAAGTTAAAATTGTAATAGTTATCTATAAAAGAGCAAATTAGTACCAAATATTGGATATTTAAATGTTCTATGATCTTGAATAATCAGCTAATAAATTATTTACTTTTGCAACAAATAATTTTCTTGTTAGCGATTTGAAGTAGTAAAAAAATCAAATTATTTGGGCAAAATAAACATTTGAGAAATTTTTATAGTCCAAAATGTGTTTAAGTAATAAAATTTTTAGTATCTGCTGAATTATTAAACGAACAGCAGCTAATTCGATTCACCCCTGAGCAAAGCATGTGCTTTTTTCAAAATCGACAGATTAGGAAAGGTTATTGGGTATTGGCAAGCAAATATATGTATCAAAGATAGTCGACAACCATATAGAACTAATTTTTCTGTCCCTCTGGAACAGTATGTC